CCACCAAATATCAAAAAAGACCTCAAAGAAAGAATTATATTATAAAAAAAAATAAAAAAGATAGAAAGAATAGCTAGAATTGAAATTGATGATGTAAAAGAAAATATTATATTGGAGGAAGAAAAAGACATTTGAAAATATTGACTTGTTAAAATAGATATGGAGTTAGTAGATGAAATAATTTTTAAAACTATAGTGGATAATAGAAATATCATCAATATTATGCTTGAATCTATTATGAACAAATTGGATTTGAAAATCTCTCACAAGATAGTTATGAAAGTGAGATTAATTGATGAAAGACCTTCTCAACCTCTAGATCAAATTTGTGACCTTTATATGAGAGCATGAGATATAGATTATGTAGTATTATTTTATATAATAAATTTATATGAAGAAGTGGATAATTATCCTCTTTTATTAAGAATAAGATAATTGAGGCAATCTAAAGGAATAACAAATTAGGGGGCTTCCAAGCCTTACTTCACTTACGGACCTTTAGACAATTGTACAACAATTATAGTATCTAATCACTTTAGATTCTAATCTTTGGCTCCATTAAAAAAAACACTAACATCTATAGAAGCCAATTAAAGTAGTTTTACTCAATCAAATTCAACTTCAACTATTGCACTAATAAAATGTATTGTTTGTAGATCATATGAATATAAAAATGAAGGTGATTTTGCTAAATAGATAGAAAAGAATCTTTATAAAGAAGAAGAAATTTACATTTGATTTGTAGAGTTTGAAGATTCATTTGTAAGCATTATCATTGATTAAAGTGGAATATTATTAAATTTTTAAAAGAATGATTAGAGCATTTAGAAAGACCTAATGAGATTCAAAAATTTGAAATTCAATACAAAAAAACTATCCAAAGAAGAAAGAAAGAGATTTTTGATAAAAAGATAAAAAAAAATAAAATAAATAAATAAATAAATAAATAAAACGAATTTTTTCTTCAAAGATGTGGATAATAATACAAGATGCAAAAAAAATAGAATTTCTAGCTAAATTTAATGCACTTTGGACCAAACCTTATATTATTAAAGAAATATTTGATAATAATTTAATTCAACTTAAAACATTAGATGGAAAAGACTTTTCTATACAAATTAATGGAAGTCGTTGTAAGAAATATAAGGTACAAACATTGGTTCCTTTATCAATGTACACTGTCATTTTTTTTTAGTAGTTCTAAATCAAACCTATAGATTACTTATATCTATAGTATATTGTGATGTTAGGTTGAAAGCAAAAGCAGCAAGCATTGTTAAAGATTTTTTCTTGAGTAATGGTCAACTTCTATATAATCTATATAACTCAATTTTATTATTATGAATTTACAATCATATAGATTCTAGTTCAAATCTTGATAGAAAAAAAGGTGCTATCAAATATTAAGTTAGAGACTAAAGAAGAAGTTGCTACATATTTAGACATGTTGAGTCTAAACCAAATAATTATTCTTTTTTGTTCTTAGATCAATATCTTAGTAATTTTTTTCTTAAACTCTACTTCTTCTATTAGATTATTGTACCTATTTTATAATTTTATAATTTTTCATAGATTGTGTTAAATCAAGAATTGATTTCTTTCTATTTTTATAAATATTCCTAGATGGTTATCATATGTGAGTCCCAATAATGCATCTCAGTTAATGAATTGATTAAAAACATAATTTTAAGTTGTTTCATTGTATAAATATTAAGATTAGAGAGTATTTTTTATTCTTTAAGTATTTAGTAGAATTTAGAAGTATTTATAAGTTAAAAAAGTCTTATTAGAAGAAAAGTTATAAAAATAAAATCTTAGTAAGTCTTGGAGGTAATTATTTTAGTTGATTTGATATTTTTACTTATTGTTAAATATTAAGGATTAGTTATTGAAACCAATGTCTTCATTGGCCTCCTATTCAAATTTTTTATTTATAAAAATCCTAGAAATAATTAATTAATAGTTAAAATAATCATAAAAAAGAACTTTATGTCTTTTAATTAATTATATAAAAATTTGGATTTTTAATAGATTTAAATTAATTTTATTAATATTAGAATTTAAAAACATAGAAAAATAAAGTCTTAAATAGATATTAGTATTATAAAAATATTATAAGATGTTTCAGGATTTATTAATAATTTATTTAGAATTATTTAGGAATTTTTAAAGAAGATTTCAAGACTTTGATAAAATTGAGATTTACCACCGTGGGAGCTATTATGAAAAAATAGAATAAGATTTGAAGGCCATAAGAGGTTCTTAAGCTATTTGGGTATATTTAAACACCATGGTTAAGTCAAAAATGAAATATTATTAGTTATACTAGTGAAAAATATGAGAACCAACAGTTAGTTTAGTCCTTGTAGAAAGGAAGGTGCACAAGTCCTATATGGATTGTAGCACCTTAAATAGAGTTAGGAGGATAAGACCAAGACATTATGGCCTCTCTTAAGAATCCCATATACATTATATGTGAGCCTTGGTGAAGCTCGAATCCTTAATCTATAAAAAAATTACCTTTGAGGTAAAATATTTTCATTTAATTTTTTAATTATTTAGTTCTTATCTTTAAACTTTCATAAATTATTCATAATAATTTGGATTTATATGTTTCTTATGTCATTAAAAATATAATAAAATTACATATCTAAAAGTATATTTTTAATTTTAATTTTAATTTTTTATTGGATGAAAATTCAATGAATAGATTGTGGCTTACTTTGGTTATGTACAATTGTTTGATTGCACTTATTTCACTTATTTTGTATTGTTTGATTTTTTATTCTTGTTTATTATACTTCACACTTCACATCATCCATTACAAGTAACTTTTAATTGACGCCACCTTGTAATTTGAATTGAAAGAGAGATTTACCCTTTCAAGATTAAAAAACTATAAAGGTGTCGACAAGAATGAAGAAGGCTTCATTCTTGCATCTATATACTACCTAACTAAAAGCTATGTGGTGACATTCTACGTGACCTTTGACATGTGTTCAACTTGTGAGACATATATTTAACTTATAAAACAAGTTTTTTATATGTGTACCGCATAGTTAGCTTGTTCCACAAGCTACTATTACATGCAATATATGGCTAATTTGTTGACAAAGTTTTTAACCAATCTATCAAGTATAAATACAATTGAAGTCAAATATGCATCTATAAAGCTTCCTAGAATCTTTGGCACATGATAATATCAAATCTACTCATATTTATCTTCTATCTAATACTTTTTATCTAAGTAAATATACATGTCCATTATATTTTATTGAGATTAAAATGATCAAAAGTTTTAATTATAATAAATTATTTTTATTTTATTATTATTATTATTTTGTGCACTTTACAAATATATAATTAAAGTATTACTAAAATATGTACTATGCATAATCAATCAAACAATATGGTGATCTAACTAAATGTTCTTATATTTATAATAATAGTCATTTAATATGATCATCTAGCATGTAATCTAATTATTGTAATAATTACAAAAAAAAATTATATATATATATATATATATATAATACTTTTCAATTATAACATGAATTATTTTATAATTATAAACTATTTTCTATATCATCAAAAAAAAATCTTACCATTATCATCATTTATTATTCACTTTGTTTTAATAATTCTAAGGTAGTTTTTGAATTTTTTTTTATAGTCTCCAATTTTATAAAAAAATATTTTAAAATACTATGTAATAATATAAGAATGTTAAATTGATCTCAACTTTTATTGAATTAATTCACCTGTTAAGACTATCATTACACCTTTCCATCTCCATTTTCCATTTTCAATGCTCATTCTTCATCCCAATCCCCTTTCTATCTTTGTTCTTAGTTCATGTCCCTTATTCTCATTCCTAATCCCCGTCTCTCGTCTCTTATTTCATGCCTCCCATCTCGATCCTCCTCCCCTCCTCCATCTTTGTTTCCAACACTCTTCCTCTTTTTTCAGCCCTTGTCTCTTGTCCTTATTTCTAATGTCCATCCCTCTTCTTGTTTTCATTTTATATAACATGATATATAAATTTCAATGCAATTTATATTTTTCACTCAAGAAACCAACATTGAATCTCAAAGAATATAACTATGGAGTTTACACACTTTTATATTTTTAATATTAGCTGGAAAATTTTAGATTTTACATATACACAAAATACAATCAAATAATCCAATAGTATTTAAATACAAACAAGATTTATTATATTTTAATTGCAATTAAAAGATTGCAATTCAACATCAACGACATTTTTGTCACAAAACAGTTTTACCAATAAAAAAAACATCTCTATTCAAGAATGTTGTTGCCATTCACAATGATATGCAATAAGAAATGGATGCTAGGGAATGGAGACAAGGGCTAGGAATAGGAACAAGGCTAGAAATGAGGGATAAGGAATGGTGTAATAATGGTTTTGATAGGTGCGTTGATTTACTAAAAGCCGGGGTCAATTTAACATTCTCCTAATAATAATCAGACATAGTTTATACAAAAAAAATCCCTTCAAAATATTTGTTTCCAAGGTTTCCTGAAGTGAGAATCACAACACTGAAATTCACCACCTATTTCTCAACATGATTATAAAAAAAATAATAATAATAATAAAAACTCTCAGACACTGAAAAAAACAACTAAAATGGTGCATTCATCACTAAATCCAGAACAATACCGAAAAACCCGTGGTGCAGTATGCTCCTGGTGTGAATAAGAGGCGAAAGGCGGTAATGAGCCTGAATGAGTGAGCGAATAAAGGAATTGATGGGAACCACGAGGCGTTCTCCACCACAAACGAGAGAGCCAAGTCATTCGAACTCGTCCCCTCCCGTCCCCCTGAATGAATGTTCCACAGACTTCGGAGGATTTCGGAGCGCGGGAAGGCCGAAGACCGACGACGAGCCCTGAAGGGCGGGGGCGGGGAACGAGGTCGGAGGACCTCGGAGGTGAGGAGGCGTCAGGCTTCTTCTTCTTCTTCATTAGGGTCATTCATCTGTCTGAGTGAGTGCACTCAAAGATTCCTCCTGCACCCGCATTTCCGTCCCAGATCCGGCGCTGCTACTACAGGTGCCGGATTCTGACGTAATCCACCTGGACTGGACCACGATCGTAATTGTAACAAGTGAACGATGAGCAACACGGACGGAGTCGAACCGGAGTAGCTGTTGGGCTGCACCAGATCTGCGAAAGCGTTTCGCGTGAAAAAAGGTTCCTCGTGGCGGAGGAAGCTCCGGGAGTGGAGCGGCGGGAGAGTTTGTATGAAGCTCCTTGTGGGAGAGGTGAGCGCAAGGTATTTCTTACGCGATCTTTTTGTTTCTTTGCCCCTTCGCGATGTTGGGTGGACGATTGTGGTTGGAGATTTTTGTGAGGCTCTACTACCGCTGCATTTGAACCATTAATCCTCAGGGTCCATGCCCTTTTCTTCTACAGAAATAAATCTTTCGTTGTTGCGTGCGGTTAGGATTTGCTTGGTTTGGAAGTTTTGGCTAAACAGAGTAACTGAGTAGTTTATTTGCAGTCTTCGAAGGTCGCCCCAATACTGCCCAGGCGCTGAATTAGAGAGTTGACCACTGTGCTCTTGTTAATGAAAATTCGGTGATTTGAGATCAGGGCGAAGGAGTGTATGTTTTTTGCGTTGGGGGAGGAAAGTTGCAGACCACGAATATGGGCGCGTCAAATTGTGTATGAGCGGCTCGGATGAGTGACGCAAATGTATGTAGCAAGCTCAACCTGAATTCATTTCTTCTCAGTGGTACAAGCTTGGTTATATAAAGGATTTGACCTAGCCGGGGGGCTTGCGTCAAGAAGGGATGCGAGAAGAGTTTTAAGAAGAGCACATTGAGCAGCCGGAGGTTGGGAGGATGCAGGGGGAGAGTAAGCGGCTGATAAGCCGCGATGTAGAGGAGGGGCGAACGACTAAGTCAGAACCGGGTAGACCACAGAAAGAGAAATCGCGAGAATGGCCTTCGAAGCTGAGAATGCTACTCTTTTGCCTCATCTTAATTGGTTCCGCAGTTATACTTACTGTAGTAGTAGTCTCCCTTGATCAACGGACGGGTATATTGAAGACTCGAATGTCCTATTTCAGTGGCGACCCTCCGGCAACCTCAGCGGTTTTCGAGTCCGTGTTTCCTGTGAAGCATGCTCTGAGCGATGAGGAGCTTCTATGGCGAGCTTCCATGGTTCCACGTCGATTGGATATGCCGTTTTCAGGGGAAAAAAGAATTGCTTTCATGTTTCTTGCCGCGGGGCCTCTGCCTCTGGCTTCGATATGGGAGAAATTTTTCGAAGGCTACGAGAGGTTTTATTCTATCTATATCCATTCACATCCAAACCATGTATCAGAGTTTTCCAGCTCCTCTGTATTCTATGGGCGCCACGTTCCTAGCAAGGTGAGTAGTAATCTCCTGAATTACCAACACGGATCTGGTTTTTTAACGCTTTTTTACCGATTTCGTCTATTTCTAATAATTGAGCAAGCATTCTCTATCTATAAGCCCCTCTATAATGTTTCATTTCTCCCTCAGGGGCTTTTGAATAATGAGATTAAATTAGGTTGGCAGGAAATGATTTGACTTTCTCCCGGGTTTCTTTCGCAAAGAGTCTCGTTTCGACACTAAACCCTAAGATAACTGACTCGATTATTTTCCGACGGTGCAGCCAGTGATTTGGGGCGAGGTATCAATCGTGGACGCGGAGAGACGGCTTCTAGCCAACGCCTTGTTGGACTTCTCCAACGAACGATTCATTCTCTTGTCGGAGAGCTGTGTGCCGCTCTGGAATTTTACTTTTTTCTACGATTACATAATGAGGTCAAATAAGAGTTTCATTGCTGCATTTGACGACCCTTCGCCCTACGGTCGAGGCAGATACAATCCTGGCATGGCGCCAGAGATTACTATTGATCAATTCCGCAAAGGAGGTCAATGGTTCGAGATTAAGCGGGAGCTTGCAGTGGAGGTGGTCGCAGATGTGAAATACTATCCGAAGTTTCGGAATTTCTGTGTGCCACATTGCTATATCGATGAGCATTACATTCAGACGATGTTATCTATTACAAACGGTGACAAACTTGCGGGTAGAGGTCTGACCTACACCGACTGGTCACGAGGAGGCTCCCACCCTGCTACTTTTGTTTATAGAGACATTACAGATGAGTTCTTTGAACGGTTGCGGAATGATCGATCTTGTGAGTACAACGGCAAGCCAGGACACGTGTGCTGGTTAGTTGCTAGGAAATTTTCCCGTGATACGGTGAGGCCTATTTTAGACCATTCTTTCTATTCTTAAATTAACTCCACGCTTTCAAACTCCTAATTCCCGCAATTTACTCTCATTTGTGTCTTCACTTTGCTACAGTTGACTATGCGCTCTACCAATTCTCACAATGACGAACCTGTCCTTCAATGCAATGGATGTGCACACTTTAAAGCACCCTCCGTTCTGGTAAAGACATCTCTCGAGTTTTCCCCGCTTGAACTCATTGCAGCTAGCAATGCCAATGGGATTGGTTATTTTTGACTGTATTCACAAACTAACGTGATCTTTTTCCATTAAATGAAACGGCTGTTGAACGTTGAAGGACTGCTCTTGTGGCATGATGGTAGTGACATAGCGTTGCTGTATGTTACGCCGGTTAGCCACACACCAGAAAATGATGAGCAGGACCATGATTGAAGACAAGACAGCGAAACAAATCCAGATGCGGTTGATGGCTAACTTTGCAGGGCCACACCGCACTCGCACCATCGTACTGATGGGGTCCTTCACTAGGGAACAGTTGGTGAGGCTTTCCATGACTGGAAAAGCGTCCAGAGTACCTTGAGAGGCTGCAAACATCGAACGATAGTGTTTATGAGGTCTGCCGAGGTGCGCAAACAAAACTGAAGGGCTAGGAAAATAAGATCTCAAGTGCTTACCTTGGCTGATGGCAACAATTCCATCATAAGTGGATTGGTTGACGTAAAATGGTACGCCTGTTGCTAAACAAGCATCTTGCGTTTGGTTACATACGAAAGGCTTGACAATCTGCAGACGATCCAGTCAAATTGAGCGTAAGAAGTTCATCCCGCCACCTACACGGGAACTCCAAAAAATTAATAAGAGACCAACACCTGAGTAGAGATCAATTGTTTACATTGGAGAGTTCACCGATTGGTAAAGTGTCATTTTCACAGATACCAGTGTAGGTGTAATCGGGAGGCGGACCAATCGGATCACAAACCCCTATAAGCCCAGACGATCCATTGGCGTAGTAAAGGAATTGCTCAGTCGCCTGCATTGCATTTGTATTCACAGTTACGTCAAATAATTCTTGATATCTTCTCAGACTCGTACGTTCTCAGTCACTAGCATCATTCGACAGCCTCTGTTTCATGAGAATATAAAATCAAGTGATTCATTGAATGAATCCATGTAAAGCAAGGAAAAATAAACAAAACACAGCAAAAGGATGTCAAAGATTGTTGACGAGATTGTACCGAAGTGATGACACTTTTCATAGCCTCTCGCACTTGCAAGTATTGCGTGGAGCTCGAAGCCAAATCCGCGCAGGGAAGTAATTCATCGAGAGTTGTGTTCTCGGGGTTTTGGAGGTATTGTTTGAAAGCTAAGCAGGTGTCGTCAGCAATACTGACATTCAACGAATACTCTCTCAATCCATCTCGACAATTCGACTTTTCTTAGAAAGTGTGCACACTCTTTCAAGTTCTTATGAATAGCGACGAGCAAGAAACAATGCTGTAGAAGCAAGGAAAAACAACAATTCAAGGAAAGCAGCTTACAAATGAACCGTGAAGAAGAACCCAAACATGACCCAAGTCAAGGCAATGAAAATCCACGTGACCACTATAATTCTGTGCAGCCCCAAAAGACTTGTTAGCGGTCAAGCAGCGACAACTCCCTTATGGAGTCAAAAGCACGAAGAAGAAATTCATGAAGCGATACGAAAAACTCAAAAAAGCTTACTAAAAATGTAATATCACCACGACGATAAGATATTATGAGCAGCTCAAGAGAAATGACGATATTTCACTTACAAGTAGAAGATGCGCCTCCACCTTAGAAAAGTTGATGCTAAAGCACCCAAACATTAAATTGAGATTAACAGGTTAGTCGTCGCAAGTTCAACTAGAGCGTCGTTTAAGACATAGAACAACTCTTAAGAAGCACACGGTGTATTCTAACAGACTCAAATCTCAATTGCCTACGTTGGGCAAGTTAGGTCAATAAAACAAGAGTGTCTAAAGGGTGATAAGCAGCATACCGAATCCAAGGATAATGAGCAGCAGATTTAACGACGTCACCACGATCAACACCACTTCTCTGGGAAAAAGAACCAACTAACCGTCGGTTCCATGATTCACATAAAACATAACGAGAGATTTCACGCGAAACCTTAAACCGAAGGAAAACAAATATGCACTACAAACTCAAATGCTCAACATTTGAATGACAGCATTTGAGTTTGTAGTGCATATTTGTGCTCTCTTGCAGCAGGTAAAAAATTTGAGCATTTGAGCTCTCTTGCAGCAGGTAAAAAATTGATCCTGTCACTAGAAGCTGAATACATATCAATGAAAACTGCATAAACTCACACAATTTTGAAGACCTTCTGGTAGGTCTTCTTGTTGACGAAAACTTTTTCACTCACAACAAGGGCGAGGCTGTCCAGCTTCGTTTCCGTTCTGTTTAGGGTTTGGTACAAGGGTTGATTGTAAGGCAGCACGATGTCCTTCACAGCATGGAGTGAAGCTGATACATTGCGGATGTTGTCAGTTGCATTCTGAGCTGCGCCCACAATAACGTCCTGTACGTTGTAGACCTGCGAATTAAACTTCCGGCTGGCGATGAGCAAGATCACGCTGGCGCCACTGCAGAGTAAAAATTGAAACCTTGGTCAACTTTATGCAAATAATGAAAAATTCTGACCAAGGCAATAGATCCCACATTCCGTGACGTGGGGTAGAGGAATTGATGCTTACATTGCAACTGCAGAGAGGAGAAAGACGATGATGCGAGGGGTCCAGTAGAAGGCTCTGGAGCGAGGCCGCTTGAAATGCTCCCTCGGCCCGCAGATGCATTTGCAGCAAGCGAACAGGAGTAAGAGGAGCCCCAGAGCTAACCATGCTGCAGCGATGGCGTATCCATAGATTCCTGTGAATATCACAGACTGCCATATCACATCCAACCCTCAGCATTCAGCAAAACTCAACAAAGTCCACGGATTTGCTCCCAATTCAGCGAATTTTTTCCCTAGAGTGAAACTAAAGCAATGGTGGCTTGAGTGTCCTCACCGCCCAGTAATGCTTGTTCTTGATGTCGTAACCCCCGCGGTACTTGTTGAAATTGTCTAATGGATCGATACGATTGTCCCTGAGTGCCAATGGTCTGAAATTCGACTCATTCGTTACCTGCTGCAAGAGAGCTCTTCCGTGCGCTGCACATCAATTTATTGTATTTTAAAATTGTGTTTTGAGTAGGACAGTCGTTCAACTGCTACAGATCAATGAAAACCTCGCAACGCTATGCGAGACGCCATGGAACCCCTACAATTGCACAAATTTGTGACGTTCTCCATAACTTCTCGAAAGTTGGACAGTGATTGTCAGCCCATGATCAATGTCAAAAGAAACTTACTCCTGTGACGGAGGATGTTTCATATCATACAATTATTTCATGTGACTGAGAAGGGTTCTGGAGCTTACCAAACCTCCATTCGTTGACACAGTCACCATCTGCGGCAGGGAAGGACAAGTGCGGCATGTGGTGGTGTACTCCAAATTTCCGAAGGCTAGAACTACCATAGCTGCAGTGTACCGGTTGCACTTGCGATGGTAAATACAGCAGACATGCTGCTAAAATTCCCACCAGAATCCTTCCACTGTTCAGAGAGTGGTGAGCTTTAGTCTTCTTCGCCAGTAGGTCATACTCTAAAACTTGCAGCTGCGCCATTAATTATCCCTGGAGTGTCGAACACTGCTGTTTACCAATTTCTCCTCGATTTTTTTTGTAATCTGCGGACGCACGAGCACATGCGTGGTATGGCATGCAGTTTTTTTGTGTGACTTAACACTGAAGAGTACCCATGGAGAATTATTCGTCGGCAACGTCCCTGTTGTCTTGCTAAAAAGCTCTTACAGACCCATGATCCACTCACTGCGTTCCAACCATCTCGCGATTATTAAATTGCGTGAAGCGCTAGGTTATGAGGAGTCTAAGGCCATGAAATCGAGTCGAAAGAGAGAAAGTTTTCGGTTTGAGAGGAATCAGCCACAAGTAGGAACGAAAATCAATCAATATTCATGCCCTCGATCCAACAACCCCATGAGCACCCTACTCACTGCTCCAGACACAACTCCCGGAACGAGACGAGGTGATCTCCTTCACACACTTCCCTCCACGACCATAATTCCAACCCCTCTTCAAAAATCCCCGCGTGGACCCTCTACGATTCCACAGTCCACAAAAACGGGTCATTTAAAATATCCTGGTCGAGATGATCCAATTAACAGCTAGGCAGGCTCGACACTCCACGCAACCCAACAGGCCGGACTCCCTCACATCAAAGCAACAGGTCTAGACTGGGCCACCACTCGAGGCATCGCAAGAAACAGGCACGAAGATCCAACTCCCTTGTTGAGGCACCTCTGTGACTACCGTTCAACTCCTATCGATCGTAATCTCGCGCGCACCCCTAATGCGCTGCAGCGGCATCGTCGACTTGGACGTCATGGGGAGGTAGTGGTGGGGCCCCTAATCGACAAATCCAAGGAACAAGCCGTCGAGATAGACATGAAGGGGACAGTGCGACGATTGGGAAGCTGATCGATGAGCCCTTCGTGCGACACTGCTGTCAGTCCCCCTAATATGGAGTTTGACGGGAGCGGAATGTGGGCGACGACAATCGGGTCGACTGGGTGTTAAATTAGCCCAGATCTGCAGAATGCCATGACAGAAAATGGGTGGATCATCCCCCCCCCCCCGCCTCTCCGAGCGAGTATTATAGCTTGACTACGGGGGGCTTTTCTCAATCGGGGGCCCGCCACCAGGATTCAACACAGACGCGTCTCAGTTTGGCTGATATCTCGGCCCATGTTGTGGACTTAGTCCCACGTGTGCTGACACCATCGTCACTTCGACAATTTATCACCCACTAGCAGCTTCACCTCGTCGATCCGCGACCACGACGACGCTGTGAATTCCTCCTCATCCCACCTCAACTCGCCGTTTTCCTGCTTCGGCTCATGCCGCGTTTAGCAACCTAGGCGACTGTCCTCATCCATCCATTCACGTTCATTAATGGGTGAGTTTGTTCATCCACTAGCACGTGGGCACCCATTACTGGCACATCTTTCATGCACAGCAGCAGCGCGAAGTTGCAAGGAGCCTGCAGGTGGTCTTCAAGTCAGCAAAGAGTGTGGCCTCGGTTGTACGAAGGGGGTGTGAAAGTCGTGAAGGCTTGTGGATGAAAAGTAATGATGGATGTTGGAATCTGTTGGCGGTTTCGCATCCAACGTCACTACGGCTGCTTCACAGTCACTCACTCACTCACTCACTCTTGTGCGGTCAATTGGCATGAGCTTGAGAGTGAGGGCGGCTTTAGAGGACACCCCCCCCTCCACCTGTGATGTTCACCACTAGGAGGGGATGGATGTTCCCTCATATCGATGGATGTCATATGCTACTTTCATCCATGTCCATGTTAAGCAGTCGATTGCTGCCCTAAGCCCATAAGAAATACACACTTTTTCGTTATTTTGTTTATCACACTGCACTTACTGCTGAGATTCAGGATTAAGGGAGGGTTTAGATGAAAGGGTTAAAGTTTTAAGGGGGGGGGGGTAGGATTAAGAATTAGGAATCAAGTAAAGGGTAAGGGTTTATGTGAGCAGGCAATCGCCTTTACAACAGGCAAGATTGCTGGCTACTTTTTACCCTGCATGAATGAATGGATGAATACTTAGATGAATGTTTTGAAACGACATCGATATGGGATGGACATACATACATCCCTTGCTAGAGAAAAAGGATACATACCCCCCCCCTCTCACTAAAATTAGTTTGTCCTTCGCCAATGAGCTTTTTGCTTTGATGTGGATGGTGACCCAATTTTCATCCATGATGTAAAAGGGCGGGTCGGGCCGGGTCAAGCGGGGTCCGCGTTGCAGGTGACTTTCCCTAGCACCCTAATTAGGGCAGTAGTATCTGAAGAGAGGCCATTTTTCAGGGGTTGGTTGGCTTGGGTGCCTTTCAGTGTGTTTTGGGAAAGGGGAAAATCCACAGTTGCAGCCTCAAGAATGATTTTTATTTACTGTGTACATTTGTATTAAAATTATGTGTTTTGAACACAGGATTGGTCACAGTACAAGATGAGAATATCTTTCTATATTTATTTTTAATCAATCTTTTAATTATGAATAGATCATTTTTTAATTTTTTAATTTTTTAATTTTTTTTGGCACAAATGAAAAAAATTCATTGCAGGGAGTAATCAATACAAATCCAGGCTAAAATAGAGTTAATAAGCCCCAGCCTAGCAGTAACTGAATTAGTAACTCAAAGTGAGATATGTTACAGCCCATTGTAGAGATTAGGTGGATTGAAATTGATGTCTAGTGCTATAAAGATGCCAACGTATACTATTACTTGACCTAGTGCAAAGCACACTATTCTTTCTCCATAAATTGTCAAAATTTTCAAACCAAAAGTATGCAAGAACATCCTCATGTAGCATATTTTGGTTTTTTTTCCATTCAATGTGGCAATAGTCTTGGAGCCCTTGTGAGATTTTGGTAGTGATTTTATTAAGTGCTCACTTGCTGGAGTAGAATGCTATTAGATTATAGTCCAGCCATAGCGACTACATGGCAATTATGCTAAAGAAGGTCTATATGATACTGAGTTTACTAAATCGCTCAGGGAGATGTTTGGTATATAAATAGTGGTGCAATTTGAGAGTAACCTGGTTCACTAGATTAGGGATGTTGCGGCATTCTTAGAATTTTGCTAGTTGTCCTAATCAAACTACAATTCTAGCTACGACTGCATAAAGAGTTTGAGGTGCTCAAGCTTGAGTTTGGTTGTTATCAAAGCTTGAGCCAATCTTCTTTGATGATCTTTGTAATAGAAGGTGAACATCTTAGTGTAATAATTACTTGTTTGGTGAAAACAAGGTACATATTGAGGTTAATAGGAGGCAATTGGTCTCATGTTATTACATCTTGAATACTATATACCTGTGGTTCAAGTCCTATCAGGAGATCTAGTTGATAGATTATGATTAATGCTACCCTTCTTACATCTATATTTGATTTGGAAAAGGAATCAGCTTGATTATTGTTATTTCAATCTTTTGGCACGAATAGGATTTTATAACCTCTTACGTTGGAAGAATTGTGGGTGTGGAGAAATACAACCCTCAAATGGCATGACTATCAAAGCCAGGGCAAGTTGCATCAATAAACTTTAGCAATTATTAATAAAGAGACTGAGGCAATGGTGGGCTAGCACCAAGCATCTAAGGCTTCTTTGGCAAAGGTGGATCATGTGTAGACAGATAATTAGTTTTGAGAGGTAGTAGATACTATGTTATTAGATGGATTAGATTTTTTTGAGAAGAGAGGGACAATTGAGATGTTCTTTAGAGGCATGCTTTTAGATTGAGGAATTGTTTGATTTTTAGGTCCAAAAGGTGAGTGAATAGTATTGTTTTTATTGATTTCCATGGAATGAATACTTTAGTTAAGATAGGGTCAGAATTTTGTTGTATACAAGAAGGCCATGCAAGCTAAGGTCTATCATGGTGCCCTTACATTTCTTTTATATCTACATCTTTTGACAACAATAAAGTCTTCTTTGTCAAAAGTTGCTCTCTAAAATTGGATGTTACATCTTATATATATCACAGAGAAGGTTGAATTATATATAAGACCTCTTACTCTCCTATCTTGGTAGTTCTCATCATCAAGGTGTTGACTCGTTTTGAATCTATGTAGACAAAACTTGGTCTTGTGGTGAAAGTCAAGACAAAATCTACATCTAATTGGCAAGTGAGCATAGTTAATTAGGATAGTAATTAGACTATGAGTTATTCATTCTTCTATCTCAAGTTTGGTTTTTCATCCATTATTTGTATCAAGAGCTATGTAAAACCTCAATTTAGTAAAAATGCTATTATTTATATTTATTACTAAAATGCTGTTAAAATTGCTAGCAATTTTTAATACTACACATACACATTGCAAAGGCAATTTTTTTAATGTAATCTATGTAGGAACCAACATATCTTAATGGATGTTGAAGTCAAAATAGGATCTTTAAGATTGAAAGATGTAGAGAATTTTCCTTGAGCAGTATGATGTGAACATTAGGAATTGTCATGCTACTTCTTTTCTAGATACTTTTAGGCAAAAGAATCCTTGACCTACATTAGTCACCATCCATATTTGTATTTCCCAGATTACACACAAGAAGCTATGTAAACATGACATATTGCCATCACTATTCTAGCAAGAGTTTCCATTGCGCCCATGTGCCAAAACACAACTATGAAAATTCATGGAGCTCTATCATGCTTCCCAACCCCATTTCTTTAAAAAATATTGTTGATGTATTTGATTGTTGCTTGAATGGACCATTTTGAATTGAAGGATTTGTATCTTGCAAAAAAATGGTATTTTAGAGGTCATTTCAAGCCTGCATATTCCATTTGATTAAAAATATACTTATCAGATTTCAAGAATATTTAAGTTTTGTCATTTATTTATAAAATGATGATTAAAACACATTTAATATATTATTTTTATTCTTTATAATTTTTCTACGAATATTTATAATATATTATTTTAAAGTTAAAATTTCTTATTGGTATTAGAATACATAGGTATTTATATGAAGATTTTTAAATATTAATAAATATGCCCAATATATCTATTATATTGCAATCAAATTTTCATTTTTTATTAGCATAAAAACTTTAATTTTTAATTTGATTATAATTTGATTTTTTCATGGTAAAAATATTATAAAAAAAAAATCATTAGACATACCAATTACTTTGCTAAGATTGTAAAATATATGATATTACTTTAGAATTATTTTTCATGTTGTTAACAACCAGTATAATTTTGAAATTTATGATATCATGATCATATTGATTATTATTATTATTATTATTTAAATTGAGAATTTCATAACTTAAAATCTAATATACACCTTGAGTAGAAGAATATTCTTGAATCAAGCGTCAAGTCATTCTATAAGAGTTTGTAAAAACTTCATGTCTAATAATTAAATTAATTTTTTTTCATGTAATCAACGTACTGAGTATATTCATCCAAGATGGCACTTTCCTGACAAGTGTGAAGGTCACTTAATGATGATACTAAATGTTTGAAATTGAATATATATTACATACTTATATGTTTATTAAAACACCCATGATTTTAAAACAACTATTAAAATTTATATCTTATCTTAAAAAAGTATCCAAATAATTAGTATTATCACAAGGCATAAAAATTGTAATTCATTTTACAATTAACCTTCATCTAAACAAGTGAACAATAAATTTTCTCTATACATATAATTTCATCTCTTTAAAAAATTAAGAGCACACATTCCTTACATATATATTTTTTGAAAAAATCATAACTAACAACAGTGCAATCCAACATTTTCAAATCTTGTTCCAAAAAATTCTCTTCACAATTTTCAAATAAATTTCATTTTTTTTTTAAGGAGTTACAAAATAAAAAATATTTTGTTTTGAACTAATGGCAGATGATGTGTGCATATATACAAACACACACAATTATATGTATATATATATACACACATATTCATGATGTTTTCATCCACCACAGTGGTGAGCATTGGAGACTATCTTCAGAGGTACTAAAAAGTATGTAAGGACGCAAGAACCCAAAGTTAAGAAACTATATCCTACAAAGCATGGCAATCAACCAGTAATAACTAAAACGGCAACACAACAATCCAACAAAGGCAACCTGCAACTCATGTTGCGAAGAAACTCTACCGACTACCGACCACCGACAGCCAGAGTGACGCGTCAACCCTCACGCATCTGAGTGGACACCCAATTATCATTTTATGTTCAGAAAGTAAGAAAAGATTGATATAATGATTTCAGTAATGCCAAACACGAGAAATGAGTCGAACATGATCAGAAAATGGCTGATGAGAGACTGAAAACCTTATGATCACCATCGTTGCAATCATGCTAGACAAAACCCAGTTCCAACACGCAAATGGATACACTGTAATTTAGTCCTTTTTTTTTTTTTTTTTTTTTTTTTTTTTTTTCTGTTTTTACACTTTGTTTTGTCTGTTTTCTGTACAGGATTTCATTTCTTCTTTTTTCATTTTTTTGATTACATGCATGACTCACTAACTGCCTACTAGAACTCGAATAACTGACACTCCAAATTACTGATAATAAAGATGAAAACTGATACTGCCTCCGCAATCACAAGCTGAGGCCACGTGCTAAGATAGGGAAGCGTAAACTACTGGCCTAGGAACGCTTGGCAAATACATACGTAAGAGAGAACTTCCAGAAAACAAGCTACTAACAAAGATATAATATATATCTATATATATATATATATATGTACACACACACACCCACATGTACCGTTTGGGATTTAGCCGTTGCTTCTTCATCACCTTCGCAGGATGTTTGAGTTTTTTGTACTTTTGTCAAACCAGATTTTCTAACTCGACGTTCCCGTTTACAAATGAAGGTCCTGTCGCAGGGTAAGGATGCTGGAGTTCGTACGCCGTCTTGTAACAGGTCGATTGAACTTGTCCGTAGCCATGATTGAGCCATGGGTGAGTAGACACGACCGTTATTGGAAGTCGGATCCGCACATCTGGGCAGCAAAGAACACAACACAAGTTGTGTCTCATTTTCGAGTTCGCACTGGAGGCTCGTGGCTTAAGCTTTAATTTAACCTCTACAACGCGTCATCTATTCAATAAATGAGAAAATCTATCGAGAGCATTGGTTGATCGATCTCATGCGCTCTACTACATTGAGCCATTTGAGGTTCTTGTATCCGAGGATTTCTTACTTGCCTTTGCACAGAAGACCTTGTAGCAAATCAGCTAGATCCGGGTTCGTGCCCTCTGGGATGAACAAGGGCTTGTTCACAATCTGCAGGCGGGAGTTTAAGTGAAACCTTAGTGTCCAGATTCAGGATTATTTGTAGACTATAGTAATGAACCATGAGAGGAACGAGAATAAAAATGTGGGTAAATACCAGGACTTGTACAAGTTGTTTTTACCTCATCATAGATAGACGGATATGTGGTATCCCCCACGAACGGGTAGCGGCCAAACACCATGCAGTATAGCGTGCAACCCAAAGCCCAGACGTCTGCTGGGCGTCCGTGGTAACACGATCCTAGTGAAACAATGGCAAGGACAAAACGATTAGAACTGTGATGTCTTGGCAGCATTCAAAAGTCAATTGAAGGAAAAAGCTAGCTTACAATCTAAAATGAAAATGCAAACAATACCAAGCTCAGGGTCAAGACTAGTAGCTCACTTTTGCAACTATGGTGGGGGGCCTACCTGAGAAACATTCAGGAGCTGTATGTATTGGAGTCCCAGGGGTTCGCCTTACAGTGTCATCCCCCTGTCGAGAAGGTGTTGAATATTAGCAGTGGTGCGTAATTAGATGACTACCAGAGGGATTATTGTGAGGTAAGAAAAACCATTGTGTGGATGCTATACTCGAAGCAGGGTTAATCAGCCCCCGGTGCCCAATTCATTCATTGCTCTGAATACGTACCTCAAACATCCGACTGACACCAAAATCGCATATTTTGATAGAACCATCTCCACTTAGGAGAAGATTTTCAGGTTTTATGTCACCGTGGATGATGTTCTGGATACATTGTACTGCTTGTCAGCTTACAGAAATTGAACAGCGGCTGATTAGTCCCGGAGGGAACTGTAAAAACCCTCACTAATTCTCAGGTTAGATTTGTGTACAGCACCGGCTACGCAAAATAAGCTGTTAAAAAGCATAAGATGAGAATCTCTTACATGGCTATGAAGATATGAAAGGCCTGCAACAACATCTCGAAAATATTTCCGGGCAAGTGCTTCGCCAATACCCCCAGGAGGTCCGCTGCCTTCAAAAATCCGGTTGCCCTCAACGTAACTCAGCACTTAGGAGGCCAAACGTCCAATAACAAAGTTATTAGTTATGTTCCCACTGATGTCATGTAATAGGACTTCATGGGCAGTAGCATAAATGTTTCCAGTATAGAATGTAAAACTAGTAAGATTGCATACCCACAGATCACATGAACATATCTTCATCATTTCTTAACAAGCTGATACAATAGGCGCTTACCCAAATATATGTTATCACTATGCGGATCATCAATAACCTCAAAAAGCTTTACAATGTTGGGGTGATCGAGCCGCTTCATTATAGACACCTGTTCAAACAGATAAGTTAGTAATTACACAAATAAATTGCGACTACATGTTTAGTATTCCTCATTTAGAAATAAAAACTTTTCTGAACAGGTTTTAGACGTCTGATGTACACCGTCTTCTGAAGAGGAATTACAAGCTTCTCGGACTGCGAAGCTGTAATGACTCAAAGAATAGAATGGATTTGCTTGCCCTCAGGGTCGACAGATAAGAGATCTTAATATACCTCTCGAAGCACATCTGTCATAGCAGTTTCCGAGGGGGAAACCCGCACTTTGCGCAGACGAGACTTGTGAAAGACCTGCCATCGCCGTGAGGCTCCCGTTAGCCAACAGGGGCTAGCCACATCAAACATGCTCTTGCATTCCACTCTTTTGAAGCAAGGGGAACAACAATGCAGTCAAATGCAGGAGGGGTTAGAAATCATTGATCCATACCTTGATAGCATACAGCTTCTCGTCTTTCTTACTCTGGTACAAAACCTGCATAGATTCGGTCAACTCTCGACTTAGATATGCGTTGCTGGCTCCATGCTATAACCCAAATGTTGACACTAAACTTCATGTGAAAATGCTGCATTAAGGCTCTTTCAGACCCAGCAGCAAAAACAAGATGCTAAAATTACTCTTCAGGTGATCACTTGTCCACTTACATTGTCGCCCCCATCAGACCAACTTTTTCACAAGGTAGCATGTCGCAAACGACAGGAACTATCAGGTCTTGCATAATGCATGAATTTCGAAGCTACCTTGCACAGCAGGGTACTCACCACTTTGCCATAGCTTCCAGCTCCAATCTTGCACTTCCACACATATTCGTTCACCATTTTGTTGCCATCCGCGTCCTGGACATTAAACCAGTAACAACCACCATATGCGTCATCTGACCCCTAAAGCAAGTCAAGGAATAAAAGTATCATATGCTACGAATTTAAACGGCAAATGTGAATTTCAAGGGCATCACATGTGCATAGAAATAGCCGTGGCGAGAGAGTGATCTTATACCCTGGATCGAAATTCATGAGAAGTCTCCTTCACGCTTTCTCGGCTCAGAAGCGGCGCTTGTGCATTACGGGCTCGTTTCATCGCTTCTTGGAGCTCTTTAAAGGTAGTTTTCCTTTCAACAACATGATCATTTCCGACGGTCACTTTAAGCGGCGGGTTATAGAGATTGAGAGGGGCAGATTTGGTAGCCTGTCGGCTTGTCTTTAGCTTCACAGCAGCCTTCTCAATCTCCTCGGCTTCATAGCGAAGCAAATGCTCTTTAGAGATTCTTTTGACGATCGGCTTCGATGAGGGCTTAACATCCCGCGCTGAACATTTCTTTTTGAACCGGATTAGTCCACAACAAGAGTAATCCTCGTCCATGAAAGTAGTGTTTCCTTTCTTTTAAGATTCAAGGGGATTTGATTCGACTGAACTGATAACGAGTGGCAAAGCTATTTCTTGGCCAATCTACCACCTTTGACTTTCCTCTCCACGACCAGTCGAAGTATGAATTTTGATCTTCCTAAAGCCCGTTAGAGCTAGAGCCATGAGCACGACCTCGGACTACCCTAAGTTCACTATGTGCTTCAAAAATCACGCCGGTGTGTATACAACCAAAATGGTGCAATTCCCGTCGGCGAACAGTTCAATCCCTTAAGAGTTCCACAAAGATTTCAACCGCAGCGCACACGTCTCCGATACCTAGCGAGATAATGACACATATATTACTAAGCGCCAGCCCTTGGAGGTTACTGTAGCGAGGTTTACAAAGCGCACAGAAGCAGTGATCTATGCCAAAGCACGTGACGGACGTCGCACTCCTGCGGTATGATCTTCGCCTTCATCACGTTATCACAACGCGGTCCACAATTCGGTCGCATGTTCCCTGGTTCTGTCGATGGATCAGCAGTTAGTTCACATGGTTCCGTTGAATTGAAATCTTCAGAGCTTGGCTATCAGTCTGCCGAATCACAACATTGAAGCTGTCAGAATACTGCTTGTACCACACAGACAGTGTCTTCTATCATTGAGAAAGTGTTCAATTTGACCCAAACCCACCAATAAACGAACCCAGACTCCTAAATCATCCGGCGTCACCCTAAGTCTAGCACGCAGTGAATAAGCCCTGGACTTAGATCAAAACATTCAAGAGTAGACTGCAAACTACTAAGATAACTCTGGAGTCCCGCACACGCTCAACACTGAATCACTATTAGGAAAAGAAAACAGACGAGGAAACAAAACAAAACATATCTAAAATCTTAAGGAGTCGACGTGCCTGTACCACGACGAAAATAGGCAGTAAAAGATTTTGGAGACCTACTACAGCTCACTGTCTCACGATGACAATCCTGACAGGCATACTACAAAGTCTCTGTGCTCTTGAATTCCACCTTACATAGTCCTATGGACCTCTCTCGCAAGTCCCATTCGTGCACGGCCTGACGATAACGATCTTCACCTCTCAAGAATTTCTGACAGGAGACAGTTGAGTGTCAGACGTTGGAGCTTTTCGCGTGGCAGAATCGAAGTTCAAGCACCGCAAAGTTAACTATGCCACGATCACGTAAGCCATTTCGATCCACTTCAATCCAGATTCCAGAGGCCGAAACGGAAGGGAACACGGTCGGTCGATCTACGGCTCAAAAGGTTGATGGGCAAAAAGCTGGGGGCTTCGGAGACGAATGCCGCTATGATTGCGAGCTTATGTAGAACCTCGGTGGACGGGGAACACGACAACATCGAAAAACTGAGCAAGCAAGAAGCGACGAATGTAGGCCGTCTGGACGCACAAATCCGATGTCGTCGAGGGGGTATGCCTGTCTGTCGGATTCTAGACATCGCCAGTCGGCCGTCGACACCGCGCCCGCGATCCCGGATCCGCCGGTGTCGGGGCCCAGGGTCCAGTACGAAACAGCCCTCCAGATCACCTCCCGCTTCTGCGCAGATCCTCGGACACCCTTCCCTCGCAGCGAGTCCACACACACCGCCAGTTCCTGATTTGCGAACCACATTTCAGAATTCTCTCGACTCCGCTCCGAAATCTTCACCGACATCTTCAACTGTCGCAGACTCACGACAGGAAGTGACCGTAAGCACCTGGTTTCGGATTCGCTTAGCTCCCTGGCGGATCAGCATCAGTTTTGCCGCACGGTCAAGATGGTGTTCGGCGTTGGACAGTGACAATGGTCGAATTCTGTTCATATATATTATATATACACACTTAAATAAATACATATTTAATGTTTGTTGGTTTGTTTGTTTGTGTGTGTGATTTGTGTGTTGTGTGGTGCGTGCTTCACCCTGATTTCAAGGCCACAGTCCTGGAAAAGTCGCCGCTGGTGATTTTGCTCGAGGAAAGTGATGGTTTGCAATGACACACACAGAGGCTTCGTTGAACGGAGATGAAGATGGAGACGGACAGAGGTGCTGGGGCCTTCGTCCTTGTGTGCCCCAGCACCGCATTCAGAGTTTACCAGTTCAGAATCATCCCCATGGCCTTTTTGAGGCTGCTGTTGCAACATGGCATTGCCAGCAACGCACGCAATGCCATAGAATCAGGAAACCCCTTGTAGATAAAAGAAATCGCCGTGGATCTGTTGATGCTTTTAGCATCCCCTTTTGATGCCCCATCTTCCTTTCCTCTTCCTCTTTTTTCTTATCTTTTTCAGAGGGGTAACCACATACATGGTTGTATTTTGCTTGTATGTTAGGGTTGCTTAGATAATGTACATAAATGCAATTATATACCAATACAGTTTAAGAAAGTAGTGATAAAAGAAATCAACCATTATTGTTAAATTTAAAATCATAAATATTTAAAAAGGAGAAATTAGGACGAGAGTATTTTAAAATTGGAATGAAACAACGACCATTGATAGGATTAATTAATTTGGAATACCGAAAACAGATGTGGTATTGGATTTTTGTGAAGCATTTGTCAATCACAAATTGATGTCCAAATTTGACCAACCCATTTGTTAGATTCATATTGTGCAATTTGAAATGTGTTGTCTGCTTCGGATGGCTATATTGGTGTGCATCTATAAATATAGAGCATCAATTTGTGATGATTCAAGAATTGAAATTTTGGTTGCTCATATGAAAAGAAAAAAATCAATAATTTTCGGTTATCTTTGATTTACTAATGTTTCTTTTAATATTATGTATGCAGCTCAAATATTAAAAGAAACATTAGTAAAATCAAAGATAACCGAAATTATAAGAATTAGTTGCATTTTTTATTACATAATATTAAAAGAAATTATTGTAAACCCATTTTTGTTGCAATCAAGGCAAATTCGTTCTGTTGAACTTTGGTTAAAATTACATTATGGACATTGGTAATATGTCCAAGACTTGGATAAGTCTTTTCCAAGTCTGGTAGCTTCTCATGAAAGTCTATTCATAATATAAATTCAACCATGACTACATATATACGTATTGGTTTTTAAAAAGGAAAAAAAAGTGCTATAATTTCTACATGCTGATAATGCATATAATGAATAAAGATTTGAAAAAATAATAAAATAATACAGAAAATAAACATAAGTATTTTCTAATAATGATATAGAATCTAAAACTATGATATTGATACTCAAATATGATGATTATAGTTAGCTAATACTTTGCAGAAAGATAATTACTTTATAATTTGATTCAAACATCTATACATATATATATATATATATATATATATATATAAAAGATTTGTACAGCATTTCAGAAAACTTCTTTCAAGGACATTTCAAGCATATTTGGATAAAAATATCGTGAGGACAGTATTTTTTTATTTTTATTTTTTTACTGCATAACTAAAAATTTAACAAAAAAATGTAAACATGAAACATTGACTTTTAACTTGAGTGACAAGATTGATGATACACATGATTTACATGCTTGATATAACTCATAAATAAATTATATAAAATCTCTTTGCATTTTCATATTCATTACAATCAATACTTGAAATAATCCACAAAAAATTAACTTCAAATAAATACTAATACATGCTAGCACAATGGTTTAAGAAGTAACCATGAGTACTTCTTGCAGTACCCTTATCTCTGCCGTCTTTGGTTTTTGAGAGTAAAGTGTCTTTTGTAACTTTGTCACTCTATCAATGCACTGGGTACATCCTGTTATATATATATATATATATATATATAGATATACACATATATGTATTAAAATTATGAATATTGGTCACAAATTAAAATTAAATAAAAAGAGGTTTTATGATTAATATTATATTATTGCTAAGTGTGTGAATGAGATTGTAGATTTCAAAGAGCTAAAATGACAAAACAAAAAAAAAAAAAAAAAAAAAAAAAGAAGAAGAAGAAGAAGAAGAAGAAGAGTTTACCCAGACGAACTACCTTAATCTCAAAATAATTCCATAATTTTATTTCCATGAAAAAAATTCAGTTCAATTCTTTACATCAGATTCAACCATATAGTGGAAATGTCATACAATAGGGCTTTACAACACCAACTGTATTATTTTTCATTATATGGTTGAATCATACAGGAGTTGGTGCTGTAAAGCCCTACTGGAGAGCGAAGCATCTAGAATTATTATCATCATATTAAAATAAAATACAGGATACAAAAATGCATTCGAAACTAAACAAATGGATTGATCACATGAAAGATGCACGAGTAAAGGACAGACCGTACCCCACAAAGACAAGCCCTAACAGCCCAAGTGGGAATGCGATCCACGGCTATCGAGATAATTCCAGACCAAAGGTATGTGTACCCCGTGTGAACGGAGTCAGTCCACGTGTTGCGAAAGCATGGTCGTGGACTACGAGGCCCTTTCCCACGGGTTGGGTCACCGCGGAGGAGGAAGGGGTTCCCATGGCCGTGGGGCTCTATTGAATAGGGGTACATTCCTTTATCAACAAAACGTGCACATCTCGGCATCTAAGCTATTTCCCCCTTTTTATTATAAAAAATCAAAAGTATTCCCCCATGTTCTTTCCCTTTTAGAATTGTTTTTAAATTAAAAAAGTGAAGTAAAAAAGGTCAAGTTGCATTAGATTTGAGTATCTCACTTACGCATCTAGGCTTAACTTGGCCAAGCCCTCATCTCAAAAGGACAATACCAAAGGAACATTCTAGTGCCATGAATAAATCAAACTAAGTTTTCTCTCTTTCTCTTCATAAAAAAAATAAAAGCCTAACAAAATAAAGGTCTTGTGTTCTTATAGGATTTGTTGGAGATTTAAACTGGGTTTTCACATCCCCGCATATAATCAATTTCGCAATGTGGCAATTCCTTAAACTTCCACTACTTGCTAGTTTTGTTGCATATATTCACCATCTCCATTTTTGGAACCCACAATTGATTATTGGGTTAGTATTTGAAGTTTTATGTATTACATTGAATTAGAATATCAAAAGAAGAAGAAAGAGAATTGTAGATTGATGAAGTTGAACATCTATAGTTCTTATCATACATATAGTTTTAATGAGTACTTTTAACTATAAAAGAGAAGGTACACCAAAGGGAATATAAAAAAATAGAATATAAAAAACTTATTGTATAATGCACAAGAGGAGGTTAGATAAGAGTAGAAATAGATTCCAATATCATACTTGCAATTGTATACATGATATGCTTTTGTACATAGAAAAGTTTTTGTATTATACTCATAAATAAGAAAGTTGTTTTAAACATATATATATATATATATATATATATATATATATGTTAGAAATCTTATAGGAATATTTTTTTCTAAATTTACAAATTTACAAATAGAACAGGAATATTTTTATCAATTTTAAATTTTGTAAAAACTTTGTAGAAAAATGAGAAATATGTTATACTGTGGTATTTTTTTGAAATAAGTTCACCTCCAATTGACAAATATAATATAGTTCTTAATAACCCCATATCTTTGTTTTGCTAGCCTTGCAATAAATAAGGAATAAAAGGCACGTACTATTCCTTTTAGAAATATATAAAAATTGAATAAACTTGTTCGTATACTTCAGAAATTCTAGTTGTTATTTATCTAGCCAATCAACTCATGCTGTCTTGTAGAAGTGAACTATGTATGTAAATGCATTCATTTTTTTTTTTTTTCTTTATGTCTTTTATACATTTAATCTAATTAAAAAAAAACACTACAAAGAGCATCTAAATAGCTAGATATTACAAAGTATCTAGTAGAAGTATTTAATCTAATATCTAAATAGCTTTTGCAATTCAATTTTATAAATTGTATACAATATAATAGCATAGCATGAAAAGATTAAATGAATGTCAATTAAATTAAGGATTTAAAAAAAATTAATGTACTTTTGATAGATTAAAAAATTATGCAGAGAAAAACTACAAAAGTTTTATGGTATTTTTTCATATATATGATGATCCAAACTTTGATTTGGATTAAACATCATATTTTGTTCATAAATCTCATCACATTGATTGTAACATTATTACAGTACTAAATAACATCACCTCCTATTCTTACAATAGCTAAACACAGAAGCAAAGGACCACTAAATACCCAAGAAGTGATGCAATTTTCTCCTTGTTATGAAACAAAAATTATCAACAAGTAATCTAGTTTGGGGGGTTTGCCCAGCCCATGCTACGTGAAAGTAACAAAACAAGGCATGAAATTAGGCAAAATAAATAAATTTATAAATACTACAAAAATCAACAAGCTCAACATTAGTTGAAAAGGTTGGTGAATGTAGATGAGTGGGCTCATTTTTGTTTAAAATCAAATTAAAATTTGAAATTAAATCAATAGAGCTGCCCCCATATCCATGAATGGATGGAACAAAAATTACCTGGTATCAGTATGGGGGACGTTTTGCCTCAGCCCATCACCACCACCGCAGTATAAATGTTAGTGTCGGTAGTATTACCACAGGAACTATCAATTCACACCCAGCTAGAAAACCCACATAACTCCACAACATTCTATATAGCACAAGAAGAAGAAGAAGAAGATGTGGGATTGATGGCATCTAGAGCTCAGGATTGCAGTGAAGGGCTCCAATTGTTTCATAGCCTGCCTGAGATATTGATCAACCTGCACAATTGGCTGAAACAGTTGGAGCTCAGATGTACACGGCACCACAACAAGGCTCAACAGGACTGATGGCCTTCGACGTTTTCATGGACCAGTTTACTAGACAATTGTTGGAAAGGAAGTTGCAACCATGGTGAATCAGTGCTCTCCCAGACGTGAACATGTCGGTGGGGGAGTTGCAGATGAGTTGAGCTTTTCAGCTGAAACATCGAGCATGGCATCAGATGATGAAAGTTACGCCTCGTTTCAGTGACAGTTCGATGAGGTCGGAAGAGGTGGGTCGAAGAGGAGGTGCGACTGGCTCCATGACTTCAGTTGTTTCTGCTAGTGCAGCTTTGTTTCCGGGGTTATCAGTTTGCATGACTCATTCGAGCACGCATCTGTAGGCTTCCCGTTCGTGTTAGTATACATGATTGGTTCGTCTGATTGTGTCTGCAGGATTTGAGGACATTGTATCACTTTCGATTCCCAATCCTGTTTCTTATCCTGTGTGTAGTGACCATCAGGTACTCCCGTAGTAGTCCTCGGAATTGAATGAACTGAATGAACCCTTCAGTTTGAAACTCCAATGCGACATCCTGGATGGAGTTCACAAAGACAACATGCTTAGCCGATGTGAGTAGCATAGCCCTTCCACCGCTGCTGAAACAGCTTCCGAAGTTACCCCGCATGCAACTTCTTCTCACTTTTGTTCTGCAGATTCTTCGACAGATGTCCAAAATCTCAAAGAATATCACAGTTGTATCGTGTGATTGGACATAAATCCAGTGTAAGGATGTAATTTTCCTTTCACAAATAGACATACTTGTAAGGTGCACAAGAAAAGCCAAAATGTGACTAAACCAACATTTGTACAAAAAATGGAGACTCCTTGAGTTCTCTACAAAGGACAAACACAGAATAGGGCGTAAAATAGCTGAAAATGGTCAAATGCCTCAAAGTATTGTACAATCTTATGTCGTTTCTGTAGGGGTCGCTGTGAATTTAACACCTTCCAACCCTTCAGGTACGCACACTGGGTGTCACGTTATTAACGTACCCTAACTTCACTAAACAACAGCGGGAAAACACGCTGCGAAGTTCCCTAAACACTCTATGCTTACATGATTGAACTCGACAAATTTTAAAGCTGGTAAATAATATTTAAAATTATCATTACTATGTACCCAACAATAGAAAAGAAGAAGAAAAGGAAAACTTTAACTGCAGGCAACTTCAATTTGAAGAGGTAGCTCAGAACCTAAGCACAGCTCCTTTGAGAAACAACCCTCATAAGCGAATCTCAGTACTCTATCTTCTGATACACTTGAGTTGGCCGTAACTGCCTTCAGGCAAGATTTGAGTTTATCTTCGACCCAACCCTCAAATGCTTGGCGACCACCAGGTGTTCGCCAGGTAGTTGAAACGATGTGCTCCAATATCTGAAAATCAACCTCAATCCTAGTACAAAATTTTGGTACTAGGCCTGAGCATGCTCTAGATAATTGTAACAATATCCAGTTTGCTAGCCCCATCAAGTCAAAAGGCTCAAACATCACCGTCTCGTCCACCAGAGAGCAAAACTTCGGAGACAACACCTCTTGAACAGCACGAAGTACTGGATCAGAGACGCCTATATTGGTGGCAATTTCTTCATGACTTGTCACCGTTTCTGCCAGGACAGCTTCGTTCTCCTCAGCAGAGAGGTTTAAGTCCAGGGCGACAATACGTCCGAATGGGGTCGATACTTTCTTCCGTTTGACGCCAAGCAGAGCCCTACTCAAAAACCCGCTAGCTTTTCTTTTCAAAACCATCCCTCCAGACATTGGATTCGCAGGATTCTCTAAGGCTGAAGTACGTATCGTATCCCTGACAACACTAATGTCCATATCCCCTTGCAAAACAATTTCTTTCTCTCTAGGTGGCTGAAGGAGTAGGGACATTCTTGCACCATGCATGGAAGCCAACCTTCCTTCAGAAAAGATGTTCTCTTTCCCTTTTCCTAAGTTAGAATTTGCTCCCAATCTTGAAGTCATTATTATTATAGAGTTACCCACACTAACATGCCCACCGTTTGAATCAGAAAACTTTCCAGTCACCATAGCCCTCATTAATTTTGTTCGGATCACAGAGACGGCTTGATCAATATCCTCAAGTAACAGTACAGAAAGAGGTTTCGCTCTGAGAGCATCAGCAATAGAATCCACTGCTGTACGCCCTCTGTACTGCATGCCATCGATCTCTTCAACTTTTCTACCCCATCTTGAGTATCCCAAATCTCCGAAATAGATTGGCTTTGCAGCAACCCCAACTACAAGCTCAGCAAGAGCGCCTGCAATAAGCCTCTTTCCGACTTGATCAGGTCCCAACAGAAGTAACCATGTGCCAGCTTTGGCAGCACCACCCCGCAACTCACCTCTTCCGGTTTGTGCATTCACTATGAAGGTTGAAATTGTAGAAATAGCCTTGCCCTGCCACACAACCTTCTCCATCAAACCTTTGTGTACATACTTAAGCCGGTCAGCAGTCTTGTGATCGAAGAAGACAGAATGTTGATCAATTTTTGCCGAAATATCAACCAGTTGGCTCAGTGGAGGCTTATCAGCAATCTTTTGCGCAAGACTAGGAGGCGATTTCACCATCGATGCTGGATTAGGAGAGACATTTGAGGTTTTAAGTGCTGATAAAGGACTTGGTTTGGGCAAAATATTCTCTTTAAGAGGACATGCAGCAACAGAGGGCTTCGGAAAAGAAGCTTTCAATCTTGACAAGGGGCTTGGTCTTGTGCTTGACAGAGAAGCATTCGCTTTTGATAAAGGATTTTGGATTGGCACAAGTCCTCCACTCGGCAAAGAAGTAATCGGTTTCGATACAGGGCGAGGGCTGGGCACAGGTCCCATATATTCGGGTGATATTTGTCCCCCTTGCTGCAAAACTTCCTCCTTATCATGAAAACTTTCAACTTGCTTCTCCATGGTCTCCACCCGCGACAATTCAGAACCAGACGTACCGATGATACCATTCAACGGACCATTTGGCATTGCAACTGAAGTAAAACCGCTATCCCAGAAAGGAAGAGGAGACGGCAGGCTTGGTTGAAGTGCTGAAGACAATGCCATATCCTTAGATTGGAGGGGAGTAGGATTTGCCGCCATCAACACTAAACACAAAAATGAAGTGGGTCATTGAGAAGCAACATACTTGGCAAACACACACATTAAACAAAAAACAATTATTATTTAAAACAAAGTAATGCAGAAGAAAATGTTAAGAAGTATTTCAGAGCACACTTTGAATACATCCAAAGTAGAGAACATATCATTACCAGAATTGTTAGCATTGTTAAGGATGCTAGCTTTCATCCAGTTATGAGATGGCGGACCAAGTCCCCTATCTCTAGCTGGCGAAGAGTCCATAGTGATGCATCTTTCTGAGTGTGAGTTACTGCAAACAAATTGCCATTTACGACGGAGCTCTTGTATTCTCTGTGAAAGCGAATGGTGCCTCTCCTGAACGTCAAAATCAGAACTGGTCAGTGATATCTGATAATTTAATTAAGTTATCTTATTATTGATGTAGCTGTTGTTGATGTTATTATTGTTATTATTATTACTATTGATAATAAAAATTGTAGGTTCCAAGCGAAAAATATGACTCAGACGCTGAACGCATCTAATCAGACATACCTGCTCAGTTTTCATGTCCTTTCCTTTTTGAAGCCAAGAGGGTAAAGAAGAGACCACCACTTCATCTTCTGTACTGCTTTGTTTTCGAACGGTTGACGCTTTAGCACTTTCTTGTACTCGTATTTGATTATATTCCATATTAAAATGATCCGTGCACTCTGAGCAACAAATCAATTTTGGAACTTCGGTGCTCCCTGGCGTGGTTGATACCAACGATGAAATTGGTAAAGATGCTCCTGCATTACTACAAAAAGGAAGCTTCAACTCTTGAGTAGGTGCGTTTCCTTCTGATGATCTACACGACAACAAGAAGTCAGTGCCAAACATAATATGATTTCAACCTCATGGCCATAATTTACCATTCTTTGGGAAGTGGTTCTATTTCCTATTAGTGGACAGTCCAATGTGAGAGGAGAGATAGTGAGAGAGAGCGAGGGAGAGGGAGAAAGGAAAATAACAACAAATAAAAAATAAAACGAAAGGTGAGAAAAATAAATAAAATAATTATTAAAAATGACTATATGCAGGTACGTCACTGGGCATCAAATTTAACCTTCAGCCCAGAACTTTGAAAGATAGATGTAAGAAAGTGGCAGGCAAGAAACCTTGAATTTGAATCTTCTCTGGTAGGGAACAGAGGTCGTTCCAAGATCACCAGCGGTTGATTCCCGAAAGGTCCAGCTATTACATACACAAACCATAAACCGGTGAGACACCTCAAAACAATAAGGTAATCATAGAAAATATGGAATTTACAAATTTTATGCCATCAACAGCATATAAAAATGAGCAATTGAAGTTCTCAAACCACATGCTATTTACTGGTAGATTTCATAACTGAAACACTTACCTGAAGCAGAAAGCCTCTGACTAAGGTGGTTCACATTGCTTTGCTGCGACAAAGCTGACAGACTCATAGCATTTTCGATGTTGGTTTTCACCTGTTGACTAAAGAATCCCGCCTCCTCCATAACCCTGCTGACGCTAGGATCCTCTAAGATGGAAATGATGACCATTTCTAACTCGACTTTCATTACCAACGGCGCTTGCTGTTGGTCGGGGCATCCTCGCTTTTGCTGTGCTTGGGCACGCTTCAGCGCCGCAACCAGGGCATTTGATAGCCCCAAAAGATTCACAGTGCTGCCTGAGGAGGAGCATTGCTGAAGCCGGTCAAGGGCAACATTAAAACATAGCTCTAAAGCGTGGCATTGATGCAGCCCGTGCAAGGTCTGAGAATGCGTATCAGCACATGCCTGGCGTAGCACGGGATCTCCATGAGCCAGCAGCACAAAGGCTACATGCAAAGGCTGGACTTGTGCATGCCCACGCTCACGCGCAGCACTGATAGCCTGGCGCAGAACCTGTTGCGCAGGCAGTGACAAAGTGTTCTGCACTGCTGCAGCTCCAGAGCGCATAGTTGCTCACTCTTTCGAATTGTTCCTTCTCTGCCTAAAGAAAGCATTAGCCGCAATATTTATCGAAGAAGAACTCTTCCAACTACATCCAACTCATCCCATTCGAGTTTTATTCAGTACCACTAAACCTCCCAGGAAATTATTGAAGCAATTTCAGTCAGGTTCGCAACAAGGGAAGATAAAATCCAAGGAAAAGCGTTGCGTCCAAGCATACTGAGAATTAATGAATCTCATGGAAATTGTAATCCCTCGTATAAAAATACAGGAGCCTTTCCCCCAGGACTATGATTGCAATATCCTGAATTAATCCACAATCTTCTACTGTATCCCGAAACACATCTGCCGCTGCGTTGTGGATGGTCCTAATCCCAGCCAATAATATCAACCCCAACACGCTCCTCTTCCGCATTTTCTACAATCTGGAACCGAGTGGCTCAAAAGATCGCCAGTGGCATCAACACCACAAGCTGACCACCACCTCGTACATTCACTAACCATCAATCTTTCAATCTCCTTTCCAGCTCAAAACATATTGGTCCGCTTTCTAAACTTTCCTTTGCAACAAAACTCGCCCTGCTTGCGATCACAAAAAAAGAAAAAAGGAAAAAAATCAAAAAGACAAATTAAAAACAAACCAAGCACCTAATATCTAGAATAAGAATTTCATGGAAGTGATTTCTATGCAGTGGCCAAATTACACCAAGCAGTACGCCAGCGAATAGAATTAGACCAGCGTAACAGATGTATTGACAAATTTTCCAAAGCGATCATAAAATAACGATAAAATCGCCTATTGATAGCACACACGAACCAGGTGACATTTTTGAAGTTACAAGAAGAACGAGATTCAAAGCAAATAGGTTTATTACTTTGTATGAAAAGCTTACAATCACAATTCACAGATAACTATTCCAAACAATTGTGCACCACCCTTCACTCTGCCCCTTCATTATCTTCAGCCAAAAAGTAAAATTGTGCTACGTGACATCGTTCCCTCATCAACTCTTAAATCTCGGGGGAAGGCATAATTGATTAATCTCTGAAATAAGACCCAAACATCTACTGGAAAAATCCATACCATAAACAAGGAATAAGGAGAAAGTCGATGCACCAGCACCAATATAAAGCTTCTTCAAATTTTTGAAAGCTCGGTGCGTGATTGACTTTCATTACGAATTCACTCTTGCTTCCGAAAAAAAAACAAAAAAAAAAACTGAGATCACCTCCATGATGCTGCGCAATTGAACAGGACAAACAACCTAACGCCTCGCAAGTTTTCCACCGCTACTACGACTCCGACAGAGACCATTACTCATTCTCCTCTAAGAAACTAGCTGCTTGTCACCTTGAGACAGCCGCATGATATCAAAAAATCACCATTCGAAAACGAATACAAAGCTTCCAACACCTACAATCCAGCAATATGAATCACACCAAGGATGAAACTGAACTGGTTAAAAACCACACCTCCAAGTACACACTTCGAAGCGCCTCCTACTTCAAACTCCACCAATGAACTGAATTCCCACACTTTAACTGCTCTCCGTCCAGAGGCAAAACCATACTGATCCCCCAACCTCCACTACAGCACATCCCATACAGAATTCTTCACAACACCCTCATGAACCAGCTCTTTGTCTACCTCACCACAACTCACACCAAAATACAGCATATTCCGCCTTCGAAGTTCACTCTGAGGTTCCTTCTCCTAACAAATGATTCCAAGTATCACGACAGTGCACAAGATCTTAAATGCGCATCCAGGACATGAGCACCACTAACGACAAAGTCCTAATGGAAAGTGAAGACTACCCTACGCCTCGGATCAGGGCCCAGACATGGATGAGTCGATCTTCCGCCTCCAACTGTAACGAAGTCAAACGTCAACGACCGAATAAGGTTAGAGTCGGTTCGCATGTACTGGGATCATTCTGCAAAGAAAACGACCACAGTGGCCTCCCAAAACACCACAATTCTTAAACCCTAATCGAAGATGAGGTCCAGGATACAACCGGTGTAGGATCTAACCTCCGGGTACCATTCGATTGGTGATGAATCGTTCTAAATTTGGCTATTTCCTTAAAGGCGACCCACAAGATCGGCAAAAGAGTAGTCATCAGTTGCCGAAATCTGTGGAATGATTAATAAACGTCAGCATATGATCGGGGTTCGTAGGCGGCTCCTTCAAGTGCATTGTTTTCCAAGTATCTAAGGTTCTCTAGAATCTTCTTTCCACATAACCGAGTTTGCAAGTGTTCTAGTATCCAAGGATTGCGGAGTTACTCCAAGGGTATTATTACTACCACATTTACAGCTATGAACATAAAATAGTTGCTTTAAGCTTAAAAGAAAGCTATGATACTTTTCTCCACCGCATGCATGTGCTATACTTTTGGACAAAAAATCAACGAAGACTTTGGACACATGTTCAGATAAAACATAATGGGAGACGGTGCATGTCAACCCAGACCACATTCGGCCACTAGAAAAGTCGCCATCAAGCGATCTCCGAAAGGTACTGTACAAAAGCAAGTTCTAGCGACTTGCATTCCCAAACAGCAACTTCAGAGACTCCCAATCATGTTCTGACCAATGCCAGACTAAACAAAAAAATTCCTTATCCAGAATCTTACTTAACAAAAAAAAAGTGGTCAGTTATCTACATCAAGGAACAGTGCGTATTCTGATTCAATGGAAAGGCATCGGTGACGATGCAGGTTGCTAACTTCCTGCCAGAATGCAAATACAACTGTATTACAAAATCTAACCCCACGCTTTCACAGTCTGCCATACGATCATAAAGTAGTGCACAGCGGATCGAGCAGCAGCTGCTTTTCTACAAGAATATTCTTACACTAAAAAGTGATTTTAGATGTGCTGTGTCGTATGCGCCCACATCTTTGCCACCGTCCACAGCCAAAATAGAAAACGAGGTCGAATTCAGCAGTAGGATACCACGTCATTTAACAGAGCGTCGGATTGAAGTAACTCAACCTTCGTGCATTAAACATTGCTCTGCTTGTATAGTTTGGTGTCTAAGACTTGTTTTCCACACATGGCACATACACCTGCAGTCACCGAATTCACATAAGTTTCAAAAATTACATAAGAAATCCAGAGTGCAATCCAGAAGATATTCGTACAACGAGATACTCGGCACATCACTACGAAATCTGATACTTCTAATTAGGATCGTACCTTTCTTGTAGGCACAAGACTGGCAGTACTTCCCTTCCTGGTGAACCTGCTGCTTACAGATTATGCACTTCGTTTTCCCATAAGGAGTGTACCTTCACAAAAGAAAATAACGGTTGCAGGGGCTGAGCAAACACGCTAGCTTTTAAGTGGTCAGTTTTCAAATATCATGAAAAGAAACAACGTACAAAGTATGACACTTGAATATTGAATTTAGATAGAAATCTCAGAAAAAGTGATGAGCTGGTAGCGTCAGAAATACACCTGTTCTTCTTAGAGAGCAGTTTGTTTTCGTTGATCTTTCGCCCACCTCCTTCTGTAGTATTACTGGCACCTTCCTTCCACTTGTCAGGCACTATCACTTTCGTGAGCTTCTTCTCACCTAATCAAGACATTCATCTCCATGTAAATTTTTAGAAAGAACCACCAGCAGAAACCACCACAAGGACCAGAAAAGGCTTCAAAATCTTCTGATGAGATAATTCAAACACCAAGTACTATGATGAACCTATTTCAGTCTGGACACACATCAAGTAGATGCCACAAAAACAGTCATAAGGTTCTCATGAAGACACACCATGCACATATACACACAGCTAGTCTGAAACATGCGCTGCTATCACTACCTTTGGTTAGAATATTGAACAGAAACTATCCAACCCAAGTGTCACAAATGTCGAAAACACATCTTCGACCGCGAAATCTAGATGCATTGAAAACAAGAAAAATAAGATCAGAATAAAGTTGTAAAAATCCACACCAAGGGCAGACCACTCCTACGTCTGCGATGCAAATCAACTCAAAAGTTATCACAATGAATATAAGTGGACCCGTCCCATCATAACAAAGCGAGATAGAAACATGACCTAAGCCTCCTGGAAAATCCTCTCTGCAGCACAGACCAGTAGCCCTAATATCTGCATACTACAAACATCGGATCGAGAAATCGACCACACCACAAAACTTCCACAAATCTATCACGAAAAAGTTTCGCAATAAAACAAGCCGTCTACACTAGCCTAACCTTGTAGTAAAATCCATAGCTGTACTCTTCCTACCAAACTGGCTCAGCGTGCGAAACTAACAACAGCTAAGTTCGTCCAACAGCCCGAAATTCATAGACGTGACAACCAGTGTCATCAAAATAAAATAAAATAATAAGAAACCAACATTACAAGAAAGCCAATCCCGATTCTACGAGACTAAAAAGAGACGACCACCAAAACTCATATCCCCTGCCAAAGACCTAATATAAGAATGACTTACACTTATCACACACCATTGTAGCCTACTCCACGATACTCGCTCTCGCACGCAATTCTTCCTCAAATGCTCCGAGGTTTTCAGACATGAATCGGCCGTTGAAGGTAAATTGCGAGTCAGTTTCGAAATCGAGAAACCCAATCACGAGCTCTGGGATTGAAGGCCATGTAGCGGGAACCCACGGCACAGGATTCTGTCGCCGAGCTGTGGAGAAGGCTTTGGGCTCGGCCTCCGTATTGACACCCTGAACTTGCCGATAGACGAAACCAGGGTACCAGAAAAAGTGGTTCGATGGGCTCAGGGGGTCTTCCACCCGTGCCCGTGGCTCTCCGTTGTTTTCCACGGCTTCAGATCCACGTGCTCCAGTTAATACCTCCTACAATTTGTTAAGCTTTGAAATTAATTTGAGCTACGGAAAAAATTTAAATCTGTTGTGATTATTTCAAAACTTAATAATTAATTGGATAAGAGAATATGATTATGTGAAATATTATTTAATACGAATTTTTATTTGAAACCATTTTTAGATTATTGTGAAATTATAAATAAGCAATATTTGAGACTTATAATAAAGTTGACATAAATATCCAGAGCATATGCTATCAAAAAAATTATAGATTTTCAGTAAATATATGGAGAAATTTTCAAAATATCAAAAAAGACATTGTGAAGAAGTAATTTAAAATATGATGTGGCAAATTAATGATTAACTTCATGTGTTAATTTTTGGATTGCAATAATTATATTAATAAAATTATACATATAAATAAGTTTTTAATCAATATTTTCAATTTTGAATAATTTTGAATATTTTTTAATATTTTTTAATATTTTTTATGATTTATGTTTAAAAATATTACAAATTATTTTTAAAACATTCAGTAATATAGTAAAAAATATTTTAGTTTTTGACATTTTCAATAAATATAAAATAAATCTAATCTTTCTAAGTATTGAAAGTATTAAACAAGTATTATCTAATTTAAATTAAGTTAAAAAAATTAAATATCTAAAATATTCTTGTATAATTAAATTTTAGATATTTGTAGTTTGTAAAGAAATAATAATATTAAAAATTATATATATATATTATGTGATATTATTATCAAATATTAAGTTTTATATTTTAATACAAAAATAAATATAAAAAATCTAAATCACCAAGTAGCTAATTTTGTTTTACAATAAAATTTAACAATATCAAATCATCTACATGTCACGGATATATATCTATTATAATTGTTACTTAGATAACATGGATAGGTAGAAGTATGTAAAAGTAAATTAATTTTATAATAACTTCTAGAAAAGCTTCCTAAAAGCTTCTTAGACGTTGTTTTGACTCTACATGTGTTTGTGGTTGATTAATAGGTTAGAAACTTGATCAACAAGTTAACCACATGCTACATGTACTGATAGCTTATGGAACAAGTTAACTATGTGGCATCAATATAAAAAACTTGCCTTACATGTTAAGATATGAGTCATGCAAAGCCAATATATTTTTGGAGGTCTTATAGAATGTCACTACATAGATCCTAAATAGATAGTATATATGAAGGCAAGAGTGGAGCCTTCTTCACTCTTGTCAACTCCTTTCTTACTTCTAGTCTAGTTTCAAAAGTCTATATTTTTTTTTGTATTTTACCAATAGCCATTCTAGTTTTTTTTTTATTATTATTATACATACTTCTCTATTTCTATTTTGTCATATTTCTTTGAAGGACTCTCATTTGATTATTTACTTTCATCAAGTTCTTGTCCTCGACACTACATTACTAAAAACTACAATGGTTTTTAGCCTTAAAAAAGATGATAAGAGGCCATGACTTTCTATAATTGTAATTGGTAAAAATCAAAAAGTATTTTTTAATTAGCTTTATATTTAAGAAAATTAGCAAAAAATATGTAAAAAATAAAAAATAAAAAATAAAAATAAAATGGATTTTTTCCATCATTGTATAAATAATATTGTTGTGATGGATATTCAACAAGAAGATTCTAAAAATATTATTGAAATATTTTATTTGATTCTAAAAGATTTTATAAGATTCTAAAAGATTTTATAAGATTCTAAAAAGATTTATAAAATATTTTAGAAGGTTTTAGATGGTTCTTAAAATATTTCAATAGATTCTAGAAAGTTCTAAGAGGATTAAGAAAGTTGTTTGAGAAGCTTTTTAGAGTTGATTCATCTTTAAGTAACATGGAAACTTCTTAAGAAGCTTCCTAAGGTTGTTTTATCTTCAAACAATATGAAAACTTTTTAAGAAGCTTTCTAAGATTGCTTCATCTTTAAGGAACATAAAAACTTCTTGAGAAGCTTCTTAATACCTAATATATATTAGAGTTGATGTTGAGGGGGTTCTGGCTCTTAACAACACATCTTTTGGAGTTTTGATTCACCTCTCTTTGTGTTATTCTTCTACTCATTTGATTTAATCATTTTCTTGTTAGCTTTCTTATTCAAACTCTTCTATTCAACTCTTTGTTTAGTCTCATATATAGTATATCTATGATAGTTTGTCAAGAGTGTCATTCTATCAATACTAGAGTTTAATCTTTCTTAATAGAAAGTAAATTATTCTTCTTTTTGAACACATCTAAGTGCTTTAGAGGTTGGAGAGTATCCTCTTTTAAACTAATATTTTTTAGATTTTATTTTTTTTCTTTTTTCTTTTAGGATGGCTAGATGTGAAGATATTAGTATGGTTTAGTCTCCTAAGTCTAAGTTAGATATAATTACGAATACATTGAATGCTTTAACTTATAAAATTGCTGAAATTAAAAGATTTTTTATAAGATTTCATGGTGATGCAAGACCTAGAACAAGCTACCCTATGATACAACCACTTTCTTAAGCTTCTATATCCAAACAAGCAGTGGCATCTATATTTCAATAAAGAAATTTATCTATTTAACAACATAAAGAGCTTTAGATTAGTATTCTAGAAAAATTTGATGATATACACTTGAAGTTCTAAAGGTTTGTTAACCAAATTTGATTGGTAACTTTTCTACAACCTAAGTGCTATCCAATAAAAGAGTTGCAAGTTGGTTTAAATAGAACTTTGATCATAAGTCAAGCCTAATCTTACTTTATTCTTTTATTTGAAAAAAAAATCTCCAATCTTGTACAACTTTGAAGCTTTCTAAGAAGCATTTGTGGAGACATTTGGAAAACATGACAAGGTCCAATGAAAAATAATAAAAATTCACTAATTACATCAAAAATTATGCTTTGTATCAATTTATGCATCTAATTTTAAGCAATAGGCTTGTGATATCAATTAGGGTGAATAAATTCTTATGAGCCAATTTTTTTTGAGACTAAAGAATGAAATGAAAGACTTTTTATTATCATTATTTGATCTTCAAATACTCAATGAAGCTATTAGCTAAGTTATAAAGTGTAATAATCAATTATTTCAATGCCATCAAGATCAATGCTTATGGACTTTGACAAAGCAATGCACTAAAAATTCATATTCTATTCCTTCAACAAATATATTACTTCTATACGTTAGAATTGAGGATTTTCAAATTGATGCAATACAATACAAACCTCTTACAACAAATGAGAAGAAGCATAAATTTGAAGAAGACTTATGCTTATATTATATTAAAGAAGGCTGCAAATCTGAGAATTGTTCAAAGAAACAACATACAATAAGGATTAATAGTGCAATCATTTAGAAAAACAAGGAGGCCTAGCCACAATATGGACCATGCAATTAGACATTCCAACACCTAAAATTCATCAACGTCCTCTCTCTAACCCAACTTCTTTGTTGTTTAACTATACCTTTATTTTTTGGCAAGTAAAGATTTCAAATAAATTTCTTATTAGATTAAAGAGCATTTATTTCCTTTTAATTGAATAATTTTTTAAATTTCATAAAATTCCTCTAGTATGGAAGTCAAAACCTATACACGTAGAAATAATAGATGGTCGACCTTTACCTTCAAGTAATATTACTCATAAAACCATATTCCTAGAAATATCATTTAAAAGCTATAGTAGCAAAATAATATTTAATATTATTAAAATCCTATCCAATCCTATTATTTTAATACTTTTGTGGTTAAAAAGAAATAAACTATCTACATACAAAACTTATCAAAAAGTCATCAACAACAAAGCCCTTATTTTTAGGAACAAGTGCTTTTATGAAGACGGCTAAGGAAGAAATGTCATTTGTTATTTATGTAACTCCAACTCATAAAGAAGCAAGCTTGCTAATAGCTATCTCAAAGTAGTATAAGAAATTTTAAGATATCTTCAAAAAAAAAAAATGCTAACATATTGTCAAAGCATCAACTGTATGATTGTACCATCAATCTTCATGAAGGGGCTCAACCACCATTTGGCCCAAGCTACAACCTATTATAAAAGAAGTTTTTTGCATTGAAGTATTATATTAACAAAAATCTTACAAAGAGTTTTATTTGACATTCCAAATTTCCAATAAGTGCACCAATATTTTTTGTGAAGAAAAAAGATGGATTTTTGCAAATGTGTATTAATTATTGCTGCCTCAATAAAATAATAGTGAAAAATTATTATCCACTATTGTTGATATCAAGGCTTTGAGAGCAACTCGATCAACCTAAGATCTATACCAAAAAAAGATCTTCTTGGAGCATACAACTTGGGAAGGATTAAAAAAGAAGATGAATGAAAGATAGTATTTTGGACAAGATATAGATATTATGAATATAATGTCATGTCTTTTGGATTGACAAATGCTCTAGCTATATTCCAATATTTTATGAATGATATTTTTTGAAAATTCTTAGATAAGTTTATTATTTGTTATCTTGATGATATCTAAATCTATTCTAAGTCTTTTGAAGAATATGAAGAATATATGAGATTAGTCTTGCAAAATTTATGAAATAAAGGATTATATATAAAATTAAAAATATATATATTCTTTTAATCAAAAGTAAAAATTCTTGAATATATTATATCCAATGAAGGCTTATTGATGGACTTGAAGAAAGTTCAAGTTGTAATAGAGTAGACAACTCTAAAGATAGTACAAGATGTATAATATTTTCTTGGATTTGTTAATTTAAATTAAATATTTATCAAGAATTACTCTCAAATTTTTGTTCCTCTCACTTGATTGACATCCAAAGATAAATCAAAATGGGAACCTCAAGCACAAAGGAATTTTCAAGATTTGAAGGCAAATTATACT